TTTTTTCATGTTTAAACATGGCCTGTCATAAAAATTTGAAGAAAAATTGTTGTTTTGTAATTTTTTTTATTTTTTTCATTAACCCATTACTTCATGAGCATTTTGTGAAAAATGGCTGTTTTCATTGAAAAGTCTCCCGTTACAAATTCAAATTGCTATAATACTATAAAAACTGCTTCAACACTAATCAAACTTGGCACAAATGTTGACTGGACCATTGCACTTGCAACAACATGCTCAGGCTTAAATTTTCTGTTACCATGGCAACGAGGGGACATCTCAAAATTGCCAAAAATCACTATTTTGCGTTGATTTTTTCCATCAAAATTGATTTCAAAGTGCTGCACTTTCTCAATGGATTGAGATAGAGTCAAATGCTTTTTAGCGTTGGTTACACGTTACCTTATGATCAATCTGGGGTCATTTACAGCCTCTCACAAGTCCAAAATTTTTCTTGGCGATGAGGGGGACTCCGCCCCCCTTCAAACCCCCCAAACAGAAGGGGGCACATCCCCCTTCTGGCAACCCCCTGATGTATCTTTTGGTTGGGGGGCCGCGCCGAAAAAGAGGTCACTTTTTTTAACAACATTTCTCAAACAAAAACAAGTGTTTGGGGCCTAAATAAGGCATTTTTTCATCATTTGAGACAACAAAAAGGGTGGGGCGTGAAAAAGGCGTTAAAAGGCGTGTATATGAAGTAATGGGTTAATATGATGTTATGCAGTTAAAATATTAACCATAGAGATGAGAATGAAAATATATAAACAAACATATACAATCATTGTATAGTTAAGTTAATTTAATGCCTACCATTGTCTGAACATGCAGGCATATTTCTTTTATTGAAACCCTTTAGCTTCTATGATATATAGAATGATATTCACTCATCTAGTGATGTTATAATCTTCATTTGTACCAAGTAACAAAGTTTTATCTTCCTTTCTTTTTTTAACTCTAAGTGCTGTTTGGCAGCTGTTAAAAGTTACCCAATACGTCATCAGCTTATCGTTATATTTTTTTGACCTTCGGGAACACTGATTCCAATATTTCTACTGTTTAAGACTCAACACGGCTCTCAAGGGATATCCCCCTTCCAGAATTCTTATACACTTAGTCTTTCATAGATAAACGAATACAACAAACTATTTGGTGTGAAAGTGAACAAGAAACAAATCATCTGGCCGCCAAAACTTTCGATCAACTTGTGTGAAGGTGTTAATTACACAGCATTTGTTTGCATTTAAATGTATGATAAAATGCTTTAATTGTTACCATTGAAATTGCTGTACTACTTTTATGATCCGGTGTCGTGTGATAATCACATGGGATATATTTACTATAAGTTGGTTTTCTTATTGCCCTTTATCTTTGCTACTCCTTTTCTAACTTGCTTGTAAACGTCAACAGCTCAGAATTTTGCCATTAAGTCGAGACTCATTCATGAGTCGAAATCTCGATGTGTCAAAGTTTTTGCTAAAGTCCCTTCAAATTCGACTTACTGAAGTTCTACTGTATTATGCATGTTTTTAAGTATAAAAACCATATGGACAAATATAAACTTTTATATACACTGTACTATAACAACCCCCTATAATACTACAAAATACAGAAAAATTGAATCCCTAAAGGATGCCCAGAATGACAAAATTGAAAATGTTGCAGGCTCAGTTTGATTGAGCCTGTTCATGGACGCAAGCCCCTCTAGCACCAGCTTAAGCAGAATTCATCATTTTAAAGTCTGAAACAACTTTCATTGATTTATTCTTTGAAGAGACCTTATTCTCACCCAATACCAAAGATTGGTTGAGAATTTTTTTTACAGATCTAATTTAGAACAGAATCTTACAAATAAGATCTTTTAAATCCATATATTTCCCTGTCTACTTTAAGAGCTTCTTTCCTCTAAAACTTCTTCCAGCAGATAAGACTCTTTGATTTTACAATTCTTACAGCTTAATTCCTCTGGGGAAAACAAGACAGACTTGCCATGAAAAGTGCATAAAGGTGGGTGTCATAAATAAATTACTTTGACTCCATTGGAAACAAATTAGGTCTTCTATAAAATTGAAATTCATACAAGCTTAATACGAAATTGTAATGGATTATTTATTTTTGTAACAAAAACGTGTTTTGTAATTCATTTATTATCACCAGTGATCAAGAATTTTAGACACAATGACTTGAATTTTGTAATTTGCCACAGAAAAGAAATTTCTTTGATTTGAGATACCAGCTGGATATGAATAATGTGTGAAACAGAAATTACTACATTAATCGTTCATCCTGTAAAACTAATAGGAAATGTTTGGTACATTTAAGTTTAAGATTTGTTGTATTTTTCTTTTTTGCAGCAAAACCTTAACTATTGGCATAAAAATATTTTAAATCATTCAATGACATTGATAGAAATATCAGAGACAACATCTTAAACAGAAAAACATTTCAGTACAATGTCAAATTGAAGATTCTACCTTAACAAAAAAACATGACTTTCTTGTCCTAATCCAAACTATTATTGTTTGTTTGTTTGTTTCATTTTATGCCTTTTCCCAAACAGTATTTCAGTCATATAGGCAGGTAGTTTCCCATCATTCCTCAGCGGGAGAGTTACACCAGTACTAGAGTACCTTCCTCTGCGCTTAACTACCAAAGCATCTCCCGGGGATCGAACCCACGCCAGAGAGGTAACTGGATTATAAGTAATCTACTCTAACCCCTCGACCACGGAGGCGGTTTTTCCAAACCACTTATCATATGGCTAAAAGTACAATTATTAGCCATGACCATCTGGGCACCTTGTCCTAATTTAATTCTCATGTCTGACAATCAAGGCATCTTTCCCTAATTTAAATTGTATGTATCACTCATAAAAGCAATGAATATCTTAGCATGTTGTTGCATAGTATTGTCAAAAAGCCATGACCATCTGCAAATCTTCTCCTAATTTAAAATATATCTTATCAACAACATCCATGACTATAAATAGTATCTTAGTCTTATGTAGTACTCTTTTTTACTTACCATCTTGGCATCTTGTCCTTATGCAAAATTCATAACTTACCTGCAGCAACTATGAAGCTTTCAGCACCTTGGTATAATGTAATATTCATTTTGTATCATATACATATCCTAACAGCAGCTAAGAAATTTTTGATATCTTGTCCTAAAATATTTTTTTTATTTCTTACCCACAACAGCCATGACAATTTTGGCATCTTGTCCTAATATAATATTCATTTCTTACCTACAACAGCCATGACAATTTTGGCATCTTGTCCTAATGTAATATCCATTTCTTACCTACAACAGCCATGACAATTTTGGCATCTTGTCCTAATGTAATATCCATTAAAAATGGTAGCACCTCATCAAGAATAATCATCTTGTCTAAACTGTCGAGTACAGTATCTATACATGTCAATGCATTAATCCTCATCTGAAAACAAATCAACAAAATATCTCATCTCCTGTACTGTATTACAGTCAATAATGCTTTTGTCAGAATACAACATGGAAAATTATAACAGTAACAGACAATATACATTGAGTAAACACATAAGCTGACCATGAGCTCTTCTTTATCTGATTCAGTTTGAAGTAATGCTTATGTATAGCCTTTACTTGTTGATGAAGTTCTAGTACTATCAAGTGCTCTGCCATGTTTTAGTTCAGAATGATGCAAGATAACACCTTGGTATGGCATGAAATTTCCTGCAGCTGGATAGTCAGTGGCCGCATATTTAAGTATAGTGAATGTCCCATGTATGAGGTACCATATATTACGTTCTGGCATGCATTAAAATTTGATTGAGTGCGATCAAGTTCATATGTGTAGTTTAGCTATTCAATTTTATTCCTCCTGTATAAAATATAAAAAACAAGATCAACAAGGATGGGCGGCATTCAATGAACCCATGCCCCAACACAACCCAGCAACACAGGATGACAGGCATGGAGTCCAGAAGGACACTATTGATTTCTTAACAAAGTTAAAAATATCAATGATTTTTTTTTGTAATTTTAAAAGTATTGAGTATCCTCAATTAAAAAAAAAACAAAAACAAAACTTTTGATTGTGACTAATCAATGACTAATACATGGTGCTTTATGAAGTTTATTCACATGAAACCATACTGGTATTTCAACAATATTACATCTTTTGTTTGTTAACCCATAACACGAACTCATAATGCTTGAAATACCATGAAACATATAATTGTCCTGGCAGTCTGACTAGATTTTATAATTTTGTCTGCTCAATTTTACCATTATAATTTTGAAATCCCCCAAAGACTGTCCTGAATTTAAAGTAGGGCAAGTTCAATGCATATTAATGGCAGCAGAAGTTAAATTTTCAAATATCAAATAACCAATTAAAATTATGTCTACAATTTATTTTTAGCTAACTTAGGTTCTAATTTGGTTACTAAATTATTTGCATATCAAATAAAAACAATAAATATTTGCAATACAATATCTACAGCAAGGTTTATTTTCAAGCACAGAGTTCCCAGAAAAGACATTGCCTCTAGAAATAATGACTTTTCAATTATTATTTGATAATAAAAATACAATTGATCAAAGATACTTTAAATTTTAAAGCAATTAATTTCTAAAAAAAATACTACAAATTTTTGGAAGCTCCTTTTACATGATTTAGCATTTTCTATTTTTCTGCATGCAAATTTACAACATAATTTAATGAAGTTAACTCATTTGCATCAGATTTTTTATGGAACGATATTCTGAAGTTACAATTAGCTATTAAAAACTCAGTTTTTCTTGAAACTATTCCCGGTTTTAGAGGAAAATGAAGAATGATAAAGCATTTTTATCAAAATCTTACTTCTTGCCAATTATTTGCCATCAGTTTTTACAAATAAAATAGTAAATCAGGCATCCTCTATTAATTATACTGCCAATAAATCATGGAGATAAGGCATTTTTAATTCAATGTTATGCATTTTTATTCAGAACTTTATGCATGTGAATATAAAGACACAGAAAAACTGGAAACCAGTTGAACTTTAACCATTTTATAGGCAATACTGAGGAATTACCACTAACTTTGAAACAACTCCCACCGCCAAGTGGTTAGATATCCTGCCTTATAACCACTTGCCCCTGAATGATCTGGGATTAAATCCCTCTAGCATACAAGGTTCGTGGTTTTACTTGGAAGCCTGATTGTGCCTGATAAAATGCACATGGAAGGCACCAGTAAAGCTGAAAAGTTGCCATGTTACTTTAACAGTGCTGATGTTTATTAAAACCTCATAAAATTAGAATCAACTCCAGCAAAGCCTGGCAAAACAAGAAGCAGCATAGGGCTACATAAAAAGGACAGGGGTCTGTGAGTGCATTAATGTACAGGCTCTCCTAGTAATAAGCTATCAGTGGGCACAGTTCAGACCAATAAATATATTAGTCTTGCACGTTACAGTTACTGTTCTTTTTTGTTTTGTTTTTTTTGGGCTTATTTGTTTAAAAAAGCCTTCAGCTCTTGGGATGTTGTTTTGAAGATGGCTTCACGGTGATATGATAAAAGATAAAATTACTGAAATACTAAGTTTAAAACAATTCTGAATATTTTTATAAGAAAATAAAACCTGGGGCCTCTTTAAAGAATTCAAAACTTATAAAGTGATCATTTTACTCATGTCCCTATATTTTGTTATCAAGGAGACATGAATCAGCTGTACAAATAACTATGAACAACTGCCAAATATAGACTTCTATAGTCTATAAATGAGCCGTGTCACGACAAAACCAACATAATGGGTTTGCGACCAGCATGGATCCAGACCAGCCTGTGCAGTCTGATCAGGATCCATGCTGTTCGCTATCAGTTTCTCTACTTGTAATAGGGTTAGTAAGCGAACAGCATGGATCCTGATCAGACTGCGCGGATGCGCAGGCTGGTCTGGATCAATGCTGGTCGCAAATCCATTATGTTGGTTTTGTCGTGACGCGGCTCAAATAATAATTATTCATAAGAAATAAAACCATTTCTATCACGCTAATTCCAAAATATAAATATTTTATGACTGACATGCATGCAAGAGATTTAATGTACATTTTCCATTTTTACGTGCATATAACATAGACCGTTTATACAACACAGTTAACCAAAGTCATATTACAGCATGTTTGTAGCATGGATTTTCATTGGATAATCATGTTTTTCATATTATCTATATACATGACTGGGTAAATTTAAAGAAGCACACCTTAAGATTCATGCTTATTTTCATAAAAGTTTTGAAAATGTATTTGAATGTATAATATTGTGAAATAACCAAAAGGAAGCAATTAACACATTACAACCCACGTAAATTACCAAAAAGTGATAAAAAAAATGCATGCATAGGCCTTACTCAGTTAGTAACACAGTAAAAATATAGTTGAAATACTGAAAAATCAGCCATTAATCACACATAACATGTAAAATATTACTTGAATCTTGAATCATTTTACTTTTCTTAAAATCTTAGTACATAATTATTTCTCAAGTTTGATTTTATTGAAATATTTTTACTCATCTAGAGGCATGCAGCTTTAAGAATTTATTATTATGAGAGAATGCCATCCTACAGTGTATAATAATTTCTTTTTTAAAGACTAAGTCTTGGCAGGTTATATATACATAACTTTAGCTATATCAATTTATTAAAGCCGGTAACCATCACCCAGCCACTCAGGTTATATAAACTTAAGAACTGTTTGCTGACTAAAGTTTGATAAAAAAAAGAACCTGAATGGAAGTCAGAGTGAATCATTTGAAACCTAAATTAGCTTATTGCAATCCTAAGTCTCTCTTGGGATTCGAACCCATAGTTATAAGGGGCAATTGGTTTGAAGTCAAGGACCTTAACCACTCACCCACAGATGCCATGCTATTTGTCAATAAAAATACTAATAAGAAAACTGAGCATAATAGGTAGATGTCAAATACATTTACACATCAGCAAATCAATAGATGGGAAAAAAACTGCAGATTTATCTTGATGATTGAGCCAATTTATTCACAGCATGACTTTCATTATTCCAGTTTTCTGTAAAATTTGCATCAGTATTTCCCCAGTTTTCCCAGCATTCCCAGCATAATAAACTGTATCAGGTGATGTAATTATCCAACAGTGTAAGTAATTTATCTCAGAAAAGATTGACTAGATTTTAATGTTTTTTGTCTTTATTCCACTCAGTGAATACTGTTCTAATAAAAGATTTAAATGTTATTTGTTCTTAAACAGAGAGGTTAAATGTGAGAAATTTTGGTCGACACAATCTTTTCTTCATGTCAACTGCATAATTTGCATTTCCAACAAAATCTTTGAGAAAAATCTTGGTTTTATACCATTGAGAAATCAGATATTGCTATCTTGCTATGGACCCCTGACTGGAGCTAGAAAAATCACAAAAATCACATTTTCTGGAATTACAGAGACAATACTAGAAAATGAACTTGGCGATGAAGTTTCTATCTGTAATAATAATTTTAATTTGATACGATGATTGGCCAGTATGACTAGACAGGAATGTATCAAATATAGTTAAGTTACAATCACGATGCCACGATAACAATGAAATTCTCCAACATCCAGACAAAGTATTAATATTTTCATTCAGTTTCATCTAGAGGATTCAATCAGATAAAAAGTAAAAAAGACAAATTGTTCTTATTGTCTTATATAAAAGCAAATTAAAGCTAGGTAGGCAATTTTTTTTTTGCTTCATTTGATTTCTGAACTAGTTTCACCTCTGGTTATTTTAAGATACAAGCTAAGGAAATAGACTTTGGAAATGTCAAAGGCAAATTGTTTTGACACCTGCAGACATGTTGGTGTAATTCAGGTCCACACAAAGTACAGATTTAGGTAATGTTGCAGCCAGCATATAAGGAATGTGTCACTAAATCATAAAATATCAGATATAAGTTAATTGTGTCAGTATTCTAAAATAACCAGAACCTAGTATATGCATCAGTGCTAGGGTTCAGACTAAATGCCATACAACATTTTTTCCTGCTAATATCACTTAATAATGTAACTAGAAATGTATCAACAGGACATGGGATGCTCCCACATTCCCCTTTTTTGTTAGTCTACTGAAGAATAGCAAAACAGCAGGATGGACAAGGGTCAATCTATATACCCTGCCTATTTTGCAAATTATTACCAAATCATAAAAACCTGATTACATGTTCCAGGGTAATTCCTGTGAATGCTTTGTTAAAATCCCTTCAGAAATGTATTGTATGTTAAAAAGAATTAATTATGCCCTGTTCCTGACCCACCCACAGACATTCATCAAAAAAATCAACAAGAAAAGAATTGAATAATTAAAGAAATCTACAGGAATATGGTACTTTGAAATTTAAATTCTTTAAAAGATAACAAGAGTGGCTCATATACTCAACAATTGTTTTCGTCAGAACAAAACTCACCTTCATATTATCTGATTTGTTGTAGAGAGATTTTGCTCTTGGTAGCACCATGGACTTCATAATGTTATCATCCAAATATTCCTTGATCAGTCTTATACAGCCAAGGGCAGCTTCCTATAATATGCCAGAATGTAATCATTGTGTAATGATTAAGTGTAATGATATATGCCAGAATATAATCATTGTGTAATGATACAGATATGCCATAATATAATCATTGTGTAATGATACAGATATGCCATAATAACTCATCAAGGGCCATAACTTTGTGCTGATGGGCCGGACCAGAAAAAGGCAACAGTTTGCGCATCTCCTCTTGAATGGTGCATGTACAAAAACATTGTTGCACTCAAAATAGCAGCATAGTATTGTGTGCGTGGAAAGTTTATGCTGTTTCGTAACATACAATAATGTACATTCTGTTAAAACTCCTTCCGGAATTCTACAATGAATAATGGAAACAACACAATTTTATCATTCATAGATTATAAACTATTTCTTTTCATATGCTGATTATATTCCCTCTAAAGTTCCTATATTTACTAGTGCACTAATAGAGCTATAAATAAAACAAACTAGAACTATCGCTGAATGCGATTCATACCCCCACCAATGTCCTTGACAGAAGACCACTTGGAAAGGTGGTTAAGGGAATAATTTATGTGGCACAAATACATAAAAAGAAAATATCTCTGGTGAAAAAAAGACTAATTGTACAGGTAATAGTATAAATATATATACCTTTCATTTTCCCAATGCATTAAACATTTTATTTATAAGTCAATTTTTGACCTTCAAGTGTGGCCTTGACCTTAATCTGGCACAAGGGTAAGATGGGTTTTGCACATCACCCATTTTGGGTGAACATTTGAGTAAAGTTTGAAGAAAATCCTTCCATCAGTATAGAATTTATAGAGTAGACACAATATATTGTCTAGTATTGGTTGTATGTAAATTTGAAGACTTAAAAAGGGGATAACTTTGTCAAAATGCAATACAGAGTAATGAAACTTGACCTGCATATCTTATTTGCCACATCTCATATATCTTTTAAGTTTCAAGCAAATGCCTGAGCTAGTTTCAGAATTATTCAAGTACATGTTAAAATTTAAGAACATTTTCTAAGTCAATTTTTGACCTTCAAGTGTGACCTTGACCTTTAGCCGGTACAAAGGTGACATGGATTCTGCACATAACCTTGTTGAGGTGAACATTTGAGTAAAGTTTGAAGGAAATTCTTCCATTGGTATAGGATTTATAGAGCGGACACAACATATTGTCTAATATTTGATTGTATGTAAATTTGAAGACTTAAAAAGGGGCATAACTTTGTTTAAATGCAATACAGAGTTATGAAACTTGAACAGCATATCGTATTTGTGACCTTTCAAAAATATTTCAAGTATCAAGCAAATACCTTTTCTATATTTAGAATATTCAAATAAATGTTAAAATTTAAGAATTTTTTCTAAGTCAAGTTTTGACCTTCAAGTGTGACCTTGACCTTAAGCCAGCAAAAATGTGACATAAGTTCTGCACATCCCCTGGTTGAGATGAACATTTGAGCCAAGATTGAAGAAAATCTTTCAAGTAGTGTAGGACTTACAGAGCGGACATGACATACTGTGTAATATTTGATAGTGTTTGATATTTGACCTTCAATTGTGACTTTGACCTTGAGCTGACACATGGGCAACATGGGTTCTGCACATCCCCTTGTTGAGGGGAATATTTGAGCCAAGTTTGAAGAAAATCTTTTAATTAGTGTAGGACTTACAGAGTGGACACAACATACTGTGTAAAATTTGATTGTTTCATATTTGACCTTCAATTATGACCTTGACCTTGAGCTGGCACATGGACAACATGGGTTCTGCACATCCCCTTGTTGAGATGAACATTTGAGCCAAGTTTAAAGAAAATCTTTCAAGTAGTGTAGGAGTTACAGAGCGGACATGACATACTGTGTAATATTTAATCCTTTGATATTTGACCTTCAATTGTGACCTTGACCTTGAGCTGACACATGGGCAACATGGGTTCTGCACATCCCCTTGTTGAGGGGAATATTTGAGCCAAGTTTGAAGAAAATCTTTCAAGTAGTGTAGGACTTACAGAGCGGACACGACATACTGTGTAATATTTAATTGTTTGATAATTGACCTTCAATTGTGACCTTGACCTTGAGCTGACACATGGGCGACATTGGTTCTGCACATCCCCTGGTTGAGGTGAACATTTGAGCCAAGTTTGAAGAAAATCTTTCAAGTAGTGTAGGACTTACAGAGCGGACACGACATACTGTGTAATATTTGATAGTGTTTGATATTTGACCTTGAATTGTGACCTTGACCTTGAGCTGACACATGGGCAACATGGGTTCTGCACATCCCCTTGTTGAGATGAACATTTGAGCCAAGTTTGAAGAAAATCCTTCAATTGGTATAGGAGTTATAGAGCGGACACGAAAATGGAGACGGACGGACCGACCGACGCGACAAAGCGAATCCATTATAGCCCCCCCCACATTTTGTGGTGGGGGTATAATGAATGTTATTTTTGCTTCTCAACAGCATAAATTTCTTCTGATTGACATGGCCATGAACAGGAACATCAAAAATTGTTCCCCCACAAACCACAACAATTTAGTAACAATATTTTTTTCTCTACAAGGAAATTTTTATCAAACTAAATATAGTCATAATTATTGTATGACAATTTATATTTATGTGGACAGAAGCTTTATATAGAAAGAAAGAATCTGAAATTAGAGAAAGAAAGAATCTGAAATTAGAAAATGACATAAATCAACATTCATGTTTGGTCAACTTTTGTACTTTACCTACAATGAATTTCAAAGCAATACACTAATGTAAACATTTTATAAGAATTCATCGAAATAATCTAAAAATATTTTAAATGTACTTTCTGTGAAATTTCCGTCATCCCTGCAAGCAGAATATTCTATTATGTTTATAAGCTCTTAGCTCCCTCATCATTTCTTGTTTCATATAAGCAGAGAAGGACAAGGCAGGCCAGGACATGGCAGAGCAGAGTGGTGCAAGCTAGGGCAGGGCAGGATACATCAAAGATTTGGGCAGAGAAGGAGAGAGTTAGATTAGATTTCAGTAAGGAAATGAATAGAAGGCTATAGAAAAATATGATATTATATCTCAGTTGAGTAAAGCTTGTTATAGAATATATTAAGATATGAGAAGGTGCAGATTAGTTTAAAGCAACAACAATAACAGAGTAGGTCAGACTATAATGGAACAAAGCAAAGTAGAAGGGATTAGAGCTAAGTAAAGTAGAACAGAGCAGTAGGGAGAAGAGCAGGTAGGAGTAGAGTAGATTATGAAGTGGATTATAAAAGAGCAAAGTAAAAGGGAGCCAAGTTAAGAAGCGTACAATGTTGAGCAAAGCAGATTAAAGTGAAAAGGCAACAGAGTAGGTTATAGTATAATAATAGAGCAGAGTAGAAGGAAACAGAGCAGTGTAGAGCAGAGTACAAGTAAGAACGGTAAAGAAAGGTAGGAAAAAATAGAAGGGAACAGAACAGTGAAGAGAAAAGGGGAGCAAAGCAGGGCAAATAAGGCATAACAGAAGCAGAAAACATTAGAGTGTAGAATATTAGAGATAAGTGTATGTTTGGACCAACATAATGTCATATCTTAAAGTTGAAATAATCTTATTTATTTTGTCCTCATGATCAAGTTCTTTCACTTGGTCTTTACTCTGTTTTTAACAGTGGTTAACTTTATATGTCTTCATTTTTATGCTTCATGTTAATAAAAAAATAGGCACAATGAAATAGTTACCTGAGCTTGTATAGAGTTTGAATCTAGTGTATTAAAGACAAGTGGCATGATCTCTGTCTTTATCACTTCCATAGGTGACTTTGCTAATATAATATCTAGCTTGTCCAGCAAATAAACTGTTGCCTGAAATGTATGAAACAATATATTAATGCTGCATGCCTGCAGATGAACCAAAATATTTCAAAGAAAATCATACTAAAGAAAAAAGTACTAAGATTTTAAGAAAAGTAAAAAGATCCAAGATTCAAGTAATAATTTCTATGTTCGTTATGTTCGACTTATGAGCAATTTTGCAGTATATATCACCATATTTCTACTGCGTTAGTAACGCAGTAAGGGCTATTTTTGCATATTTTGCTCTTTTTGTTGATTTATATGGGTTGTAATAATTATTGCTCTTTGCAATGGGAAAATTATTATCTTCGTTCACTATACAATATTCTACTTTTTTATGCATTTTCTCACTTTTCATGAAAATAAGCATGAATCTGGAGGTGTGCTGTTTTAATGCATTATCTACATGCAATATCAAAATGCTTTTAAAAGTATTTTGAATAGAGACAATCAACCAGAAAATCATCCATGAAAAAAGACAAACAAATGTATGGGAATTTAATGATATTTTGATAGTTTGTTGCTTTTAAAATTTCTAAATCAAACAAACTCATCATAAGACATGAAATTTGAAATGACATAATAACCATCGCCTAACCAGTTACTTCTGCTTCTCTGAAGATTCTATTTTATTTTCCTTGTTTTGTGCAAAATGTTGATCAAATTACCTGCATTGGTCTTGGGTAGTTGAGAATAGTTCTGAAGTGTGGTAATATCACATTTGCATAGTCTGCCTTTGACACATGATCTATAAGCGCCAGCATGGCTGGTAAAGCCATGAACATGGTGTCTATAGACATACAGGATTCCACTAGATTTGGTAATACATGACCATACAGAACTTTCTAAAAATAAACAGACACTGTCATGATATATAAATATTCACTGCTTTATTAAAGCTTTACTAATAGCAAGATGTTGTAAAACAAGACATGTCATAGGTTTTTTTTAACATTTTAACAGTATTTCAAGGTAACTATTTTTGACAATGACATTGTCTTTTTTTTTTTCATTTGAAAACCACCTTTTTTCTTTCTTTCATAAAAAAATAGTTAGTTGGAGTAAAGTAGTTGCATTTTGAAACATAGTGCCCTTAACCCTAATATCACACTTAATATCTTAATTGGACTTGTCTTAATCTTTCAGTCTTGCCAAAATCATTTTATCATTTTTAAGGAAAATTAAAAAAATATTTACTAACTAATGTAGTAAACAGTGCAAACCATGATATGATGGCACAGCTGAACTTGGTCAGAGTGCACTGGACACATGGGTATATTAAATCGCTGCAACCATGGGCTAAATTGAACTTCAAGTGACCAATTATTTTACAAATTGACAGCAGACATTAGAATGAGCTCAATCAAAGGTCTGACTGTATTATAAAGATATATGCCATCCAGCAAAGGTTTGACTGTATAATAGTTATCAATGCCATCCTTCAAAACTTTAACTGTATTGAAGATATCAATGCCGTCCATCAAAGGTTTTATTATATTATAAGAATCAGATATATAAGGCTCTTAAATAACTTAAGCTTACGATGTTCCGGAATCAATCAGACGTGGGGAGAAAATGCCATTATTCTGACATCTGTAATTGCTTTTAAAGACATTATGCAAATTTGATGTTGTATAATACACCAGTATTTATGCAATATGTGTAATTACTGTTCCATTTTGAGTTTTTCAAGGCAATACTGTGCCAGATTTTTCTCTTAAATTCCTCTAGTTATGATAATAGTCAACTAAATCCTCAATAATACCCCATGTGGGTTGTTATAAGAATTCAGCGTCTAGAAAAAAGGCATTGCTAAAGGGTTAGTGGTAGTTGTATATCTGAATTAAAGTTTTATTTTCGTAGCTAGACTTTGAATAAAAAAGAAATAACATGTTTTGTTCCATCTGCATCTATCATGCAACAAAATCTATGATCAAATATGATTATATAATGTGCACTGAATCATATAAATTGTTGCCATTTTAGGTATAAAAACAGGTATCAGATTCTCGCGAAAATTCAATAAATTTATTTTGTTAAAGGCCCACCATGCCCCAGAAATTTCTTTTTAAATTCTTTAGAAATGTTTTCATTAATGTTTTAATAATTGATTTTAGAATGTTAAACAACTGAAAAAAAAGTGATCAACATGCAGTAATGTGTCATGAAGGTAGAAAATGTAAAAAAAACACAGCATTTTGAATTCTTTACAAAATATCATAACTATACCAATTGAGATTTGCTATAAAGAGCAAAAGAAATAAAAGATAGCTTATGAATAACATTTTGGAAACTGTAACGAAATACAAAAATAAAAAAGATTTTGAGAAAAAACTAGAACTGCCACTATCATGGCGTGAATACCCCCGCATACCACTTTGTCAGAATCAACAGTGGCCATTTAGAGCTCAAGGACAACCTCCCTGCCAAATCTGAGGTTACTAAGCCAGTGCATTGCTAAGTTATGTATTCTACATGCTTCAAATGTGAAATTGTCAAAATCAATACATTGCGGACAGGACATTCTTAGCAATTGAGAAGAAAAAGCTTTTTTTTGTCAAGGTCCTGTGACTTGGAACCTTTGACCAGTGACCTCAATCAATAGGGTCACCTTATAGTCATGATCAACAATCCATGCCTTTAATATGAAGACTGTGGGTCAAAGGAATCTTAATTAAATGGGTGGACAAACTTTTGAAGTCAAAGTCCCTATGACCTTGCCTTTGGGATCCAGTGACCCTCAAATCCAAAGGGTCATCTACTAAATCATTGACTAAAACTCAATTCCAAATATGAACTGGTGGGTCATAGGAATCTTAAGTTATTGGCGGACAAGCTTTTTGAAGTCAGGCTCCTATGACCTTGACTTAAGACAAATGGTGACCTCAAAATCATAGGGGTCATCTACTTAAATCATGACTAACCTCATGCCAAATATGATGACTGTGGGTCAAAGGAATTCTTTTAAGTTAAGGCAGACAAGCTTTTTGAAGTCAGGCCTGTGTTGACCTTTGACCTGGTGGCCTCAAAGTCAAATAGGGTCCCATCTACTTTAATCATGACCTAACCTGAATGCCAAATATAGAACTATGGGTCAAAGGAATCTTATGTTATTTGGGACCAAGCTTTTTTGAAGTCAAGGCCCCTGTGACTGGGACCTTGACTGGTGACCTAAAAAAATCAATAGAGGTTCTTATTAATCATGACTAACCTCAATGCCAAATATAAAGACTAATGGGTCAAAGGAATCTTAAGTTATTGGGGGGCCAAGATTTTTGAAGTCAAGCCCCTGTGACCTTGGACCTTTGCTTGTGACCTTTAAAATCAAATAGGGTCATCTACTTAATGAAGACTTCCTCCATGCAAATATGAAGACGGGGTCAAAGGAATCTAAGTTATTGGGGGGACAAGCTTTTGGAGGTCAGGCCCTGTGACGCTTGACCTTTGGACCTTTTGGTAACCTCAAATCAATAGGGGTCATCTACTAAATCATGACTAACCTCCATGCCAAAATATGAGACCTGTGTAGGTCAAAGGAATCTTAAGTTTATTGGGCGGACATATTTTTGAAGTCAAGGCCCCTGTGACCTGGACCTTTGACCTAGTGACCTCACAATTCAATAGCGGTCATCTACTAATCCATAACTAACCTCATGCCAAATATGAAGACTAAGGTCAAAGGAATCTTAAGTTATTGGCCGGACAAGAAAAAAAGGACAGACTGCCGGACGCCTGGACAGCCGGACGGACGGACAAGCTGATTCCAGTATACCCCCCTTACAACTTTGTTGTGCGGGGATATAAAAAACATGGCATTTCCAGGCCTTTATGGGCCTTAAATAAACCTTTATACAGCCTGGAACCAAAAAGACATATAATATAAAGCAACAGTTATTACTTTCTATATAATTTAAGAATGACAATGTCTGCTGAATTTATGGTATTTTTTACTTAACACAATATCTTAAGCCTATAAAAACACAACATTAAATCAAACAACTATATGAACAACTTAAAATAACATAATCTTGCAAATAAATTTAAGCAATCAAGTTCTGAGCAAATTTCTAGTTGTAACATTTCCATCATAGGCAACTAAATCAACAACTGTTTAGGGAGTCAAAACCTATAAAAAGATCAGGAAAATATCATAAATTCAACTTCATTCAAAATAAACTAGAAATATCACTTAATGTGATTAATACCCCCGCAAGACTGCTTCAGAAATGAGGAAGTTACTAGTAACAGAATACCTTGCAAAAGAACTGAAATAGAGTTATGGTTGTGGGCAATTAAGATTAGTTTGGTTACCATGATGAAAGTTTTTTATTGAATTACTTTTGTAAAAAGTCAAAAAGCAGTTACGTTTCTTGAGCAACTGCAAATTTCCTCTCATTGCGCTTGACCCATTGAATGAAGTTTCATTGAATTCTTAACATTAGTTTTTTAAGTTATGCAACATGATAAGGAAAAGTATCAACAGGCAATAACTCTGTTATTTTCAAATGGTGTTATTGTTTTTTGTGCACTGCAACTTCTTTTAATGTGCTTGACAATATGTTATGAGTGTTATTGAATCCAACTAGTAGTTTTCAGAGTTGTGCTCGGACAAGTAAAAAGAAACAAAGGGCAATAACTATTAAATTAAGTCAAGAATTGGAGTTATGGTTTCTTGTGGCAATGCACTTCCTCTTATTGTGCTTGACCATTGTATGAAGTTGTTTTTGAAATCCAACCAGTAGTTTCCAAAGTTATGCTCCGGACAAAGGAAAAGTAACAAAGGGCAATAACTCTTAATTAGTCAAGATGAGTTATGGTTTCTTGTCACTACACTTCTCTCAATGAACTTTTGAACGCATTGTATGAAGTTATATTGAATTCCAACCATTAGTCTTCAAGTTATGGTCCGGACAAAAGAAAGCAATGGAAAAGTAACAAAGGGCAATAACTCTGTAATTACTTTAGATAGAGTTATGGTTCTTGTGCATTGCACTTTCCCTTATTGTGCTTGACCATTGTTTGAAGTTGTTTTCAATTCCAACCAATAGTTTTCAAGTTATGCTCCGGACAAGAAAAATGCAACGGACGGCTGGACCGACCGACCAACCGACCACCGAGTGACTCCTATATACCCCCCAAACTTCGTTTCGGGGGTATAATAATATATAATTATACGTGATTACATTTACTGGCTTGGATAATCTGCATTATTTTCTGTAGGTTACTGATATCTCTTTGAGGGGTTTGTGCTATGATTATAAAAAATGTCAGTAATACTGTTACATTAAACCACCAAAGATACCTAACTGAAATCTGCAGTAAGCTAAAGTGGCATCAACTGCGCCCCCTCCATTATTTCAGGCACGGGTAAGGATTTGAATAAAACCTGAGGACCCGTCACTTCAGCCTAAAGATTATAGTAGCTACATCATCCTCCCAATGAAAGTCCCTTTGGGACAGCTGTAAGGGACAAGTACTACAAAGTCAGATTCCACAAGCATTACATAGAATGTGTATTTTGCATTGTATCAACCCTATTATTAACGACGGCATATTTCAGCTTTTGTATACATATACAGTAAACTCCATGTATTGCCTGTAACAAAATACCCCTTATAATGATGCTGTTGCCACAGTCCTGACTTTTGTTTTTAAATTGGTTGCTTCCCGGATATTACAATATTAACTCAGGGACGGTCCTCTGAATAGCATTACGAGCAGAGTTTACACATATGTTCAGCATATTGCGTTGAAACGTTACCTTGTGTATATCTGGAATGACTTGAATGAGATTCGTATAAACTTCTGCCCGTTGTTGGGAGGTCTCCAGTTGCTCTAAATTGTCTAATCTCTGTAAACAGGACACCACTGGGTCATGAAAATATTTCAACTGTGAAAAAAAGAAAAAATATATTCTTAGAATTAATATAACAGTCACATTAAGTATTATGGACTCCACTGAGGTTTTTGACATGACTGGGCTGGAAATATATTTCTGTGATTTGCATTATGTTTGATACAGGTCTGGAACAAAAACCCTTGTGCAAATAATTTTCAGAACATTAATTCCCTCGCACAGTCTGTCCAGAATAGATATTTTTATTGTTTAAAATGGCCAAAAAATGAAAAGGGTATTAAAGCACATTCAAACTGAGTAAGAATCGCACACACAAAAAAAGTTCAATATAATTCTGAGTACATTTCTTTATTATCCTCTGCAGATTTTTCCACTTTAGTTGCCTCACTTGATCTAATTGTAAGAATTTCAAATTTTATGTTTTTAGGCTTTTCGACCTTTGTGAAGCTTCTTTAATTGAAATACAATTATGTAGTTACAAAACACTTCTCCAAAAAGGACTTGACTATAAACAAAATGACATCATTCCTAGTTTTTGATTCAATATTTAGAAATCTTTAGGAAGCTAAGCTGCAATTTCTGAATATATGACATTTTAGCAAGCCAAAACCCTGTATTATTTTGTATTCTAACGTCTTTATCTGTAACATAAATACATAAATCTTTGCTTTTATTTTTTACAATTCTTGATAATAAATGATCTTGATAAAAATCATATCTTGTGTCATTTTCAATGGTTTATAGTGCATATTTCGTACTTGTTTTTTGTTGTTTTTTTATCATAGGACCTAGTTGTTACTGAACCTTTCAAAAAAGAAATAATATGAACAAATATTATCTGAAACCATGCCATGTGTTAATTCTCTAGAGAGGCTTAGATTTAAAACCTTTCTAAAATCATTCTCTGAAATCTCAGCAAAAAGTTGTAAGACAAAATATTTATGTATGGAGACATATATTTAGTGTTCAGGTATCAAAGAATTTTCAAGCATTGTTTCCTCACTGCTGAAAAATGGTATGGAAAATTTGATAAAGAAGAGTTATTTTCTAAACGTTTTTGAATAAGTAGGAGAAACTGGCAACATATACATTCCAAAAAGTGCTAAAAACTGTCTGATGTTTTGACCCCCCCCCCCTATTTATAGTTTATTTATAACTGTTTTACAGTGCCTGGACACCTAAACTCTCTCAAGTGTTTTCAAAAAAACCAAGAGGGCCATGATGGCCCTGAGGTCGCTCACCTGTATTTAGGCCCCTCAACCCCCCCCCCCCCAATGTTGCAGGGCCAAATTTAACCCAAAGGGCTTTTATTTTGCATAAACTTGGTAGACACCCATAAGAAGATGTTTCATGCTCATTGGGCTTTTTAAAAGAAGATTTTTTAAAGTTTTTACTATACACATATAGTTAAAAACAATGACACCCCTGGGGCTGGGCCAGTTTTGACCCCAGGGCTTTTATTTGAACAAACTTGGTAGACACCTATTAGAAGATGTTTCATGCTTAATATCTAAACTCTAGCTATTTGGGTTTTTTCAAAGAAGATTTTAAGTTTTTGCTTTACACATATAAAGAAAATCAATGACTCCCGGGGGGGGGGGGGGGGGGGGCCAATTTTGACCCCAGGTCTTTTATTTGAAAACAAACTTTGTAGACACTCACTAAAAGATGTTTCATGCTTAATATCTTAACTCTAGCTATTTGAGTTTTTTTCAAAGAAGATTTTTTTAAGTTTTTGCTATAACATATAAAGGAAAATCAATGACCCCCGGGCGGTGCCAATTTTGACCCAGGGCTTTTAATTATTTGAAAAAACTTGGTAGACACCTATTAGAACATGTTTGATGCTAAATATCTTAGCCATAGCTCTTTGAGTTCTTTAAAAGAAGATTTTTTTAAGTTTTTACTATATGCATATACCGGTAGGGAAAATCAATGAACCCCCGGGGCGGGGCCAATTTTGACCCAAGGGCTTTTATTTGAACAAACTTGGTAGACACTTATTAGAACATGTTTCATGCTAAATATCTTAGCTCTAACTCTTTTGGTTCTTTGAAAGAAGATTTTTTAAGTTTTTACTATATCCATATAGGGAAAATCAATGACCCCCTGGGGCGGGGCCAATTTTGACCCCAGGGCTTTTATTTGAACAAACTTGGTAGACACCTATCAGAAGATGTTTGATGCTCAATATCTTAGCCATAGCTCTTTGAGTTCTTTAAAAGAAGATTTTTTAAGTTTTTACTATATGCATATAGGGAAAATCAATGACACCCCGGGGCGGGCCAATTTTGACCCCAGGGCTTTTATTTGAACAAACTTGGTAGACACTCAGTAGAAGATGTTTCATGCCAAATATCTAAGCTCTAGCTCTTATGGTTTTTTAAAAGAAGATATTTAAAGTTTTTTCTTTCAGTTGCCATGGCAACCAGAGTTCTGCATGGAATTAAATTCTTTGAACACTTTTTAAAGGTGACCACCAAAGGAACTTTCCTGTGAAGTTTGGATGAAATTGGCTTAGTTATTTCTGAGGAGATGTCATTTAAAGTAAAAGTTTACGGCCGGACGGACGCCGGACGAAAAACGATCACAAAAGCTCACTCTGTCACTTTGTGACAGCTGAGCTAAAAAGTTCAGCATGAAAATTAAAAAAATATATATATAACAGAAAATAAATATAAGTATGATCAAATTGCATAAAAATATGATGGTTATCTCTTTTTTACATGTTGATAAATCAACTTCAAACCAGCATATTTCATTTACTGTTACATACCAACTTATAAATACATACTAGTGAAAATAGCTGAGCTGTCGGTCTGTATCTTGTATCCTTGTTGATCATTTTCTCCACCGGCTCCACAAGTGAGAGCGGCATCTTGTGAGCTACATCCCCAAACTGTTGAGTCAGCTGAAGATAAAATAAACCTAGAAACAACTTGTCTGTTGAAAGTATTGCCTTTCCATACTTTATAAGGTACAAGAAGGGTTTGGGCAAAAAAGTGCCTGAGATATACATGACATTGTATGTTTTACTTAAAGCACCTGTTACTTTCAATTTATTAAAATAATTGTGTATTTCTTTTCTTTATAATATACATAAAAAATCTATTTATGATAATATATTATTGAGATATTCCTGTAAATATTGACATAACCTGGTCAAGCTGTTTGAAACATGACTGTAAATATTGGCATTACCTGTTCAAGCTGATTGAGATATGTCTGTAAATATTGACATAACCTTGTCTAGCTGTTTAGGAATTATGTCTGTAAATATTGACATTAGAAAAACTGGTCTAGCTATTAAGGATTTATGTCTGTAAATATTTGCATTATATGGTCAAGTTGTTTAGGATTTATGTCTGTAAATGCAGACATTAACTGTTCAAGCTGTTTGAGATATATGTCTGTAAATATTGGCATTACCTGGTCAAGCTGTTTGAGATATATGTCTGTAAATATTGAGATTGCCTGGAGAAGCTATTGAGATATATGTCTGTAAATATTGAGATTGCCTGGTCAAGCTGTTTAAGATTTATGTCTGTAAATATTGGCATTACCTGGTCAAGCTGTTTAAGATTAATGTCTGTAAATATTGACATTACCTGGTCAAGCTATTGAGATATACGTCTGTAAATATTGAGATTGCCTGGTCAAGCTGTTTGAGATATATGTCTGTAAATATTGGCATTACCTGGTCAAGCTGTTTGAGATATATATCTGTAAATATTGGCATTACCTGGTCAAGCTGTTTGAGATATATGTCTGTAAATATTGCCATTACCTGGTTAAGCTGTTTGAGATATATGTCTGTAAATATTGGCATTACCAAGTGGTCACACTGTTTGAGACATGACAGAAAATATTGGCATTACCTGGTCAACCTGTTTGAGATATATATCTGTAAATATTGGCATTACCTGGTCACACTGTTTGAGTCATGACTGTAAATACTGACATTACTTGGTCAAGCTGTTTGAGATATATGTCTGTAAATATTGGCATTACCTGGTCACACTGTTTGAGACATGACAGAAAATATTGGCATTACCTGGTCAACCTGTTTGAGATATATGTCTGTAAATATTGACATTACCTGGTCACACTGTTTGAGACATGACAGAAAATATTGGCATTACCTGGTCAACCTGTTTGAGATATATATCTGTAAATATTGGCATTACCTGGCCACACTGTCTGAGATATATCTGTAAATATTGGCATTACCTGGTCAAGCTGTTTGAGATATGTCTGTAAATATTGAGATTACCTTGTCAAGCTGTCTGAGATATATCTGTAAATATTGGCATACCTGGTCAAGCTGTTTGAGACATGTCTGTAAATATTGGCATTACCTGGTCAAGCTGTTTGAGATATGTCTGTTAATATTGGCATTACCTGGTCAAACTGTTTAAGATATGTCTGTAAATATTGGCATTACCTGGTCAAGCTGTTTAAGATATGTCTGTAAATATTGGCATTACCTGGTCAAGCTGTTTAAGATATGTCTGTTAATATTGAGATTACCTTGTCAAGCTGTTTGAGAGATATGTCTGTAAATATTGGCATTACCTGGTCCAGCTGTTTAAGATATGTCTGTAAATATTGACATTACCTGGCCAAGCTGTTTAAGACTTATGTCTGTAAATATTGACATTACCTGGCCAAGCTGTTTAAGACTCATGTCTGTAAATATTGACATTACCTGGTCCAGCTGTTTAAGACTTATGTCTGTAAATATTGACATTACCTGGTCCAGCTGTTTGAGATATATATCTGTAAATATTGGCATTACCTGGTCACACTGTTTGAGACATGACTGTAAATACTGACATTACCTGGTCAACCTGTTTGAGATATATATCTGTAAATACTGACATTACCTGGTCAAACTGTTTGAGATATATCTGTAAATATTGGCAATACCTGGTCAAACTGTTTGAGATATGTCTGTAAATATTGGCATTACTTGGTCAAACTGTTTGAGATATACATCTGTAAATATTGGCATTACCTGGTCAAGCTGTTTGAGATATATCTGTAAATATTGGCATTACCTGGTCAAACTGTTTGAGATAATATCTGTAAATATTGGCATTACCTGGTCAAACTGTTTGAGATATATCTGTAAATATTTGCAATACCTGGTCAAACTGTTTGAGATATGTCTGTAAATATTGGCATTACCTGGTCAAGCTGTTTGAGACATACATCTGTAAATATTGGCATTACCTGGTCAAGCTGTTTGAGATATGTCTGTAAATATTGAGATTACCTGGTCAAGCTGTTTGAGACATACATCTTCAAATATTGGCATTACCTGGTCAAGCTATTTGAGATATATCTGTAAATATTGACATTACCTGGTCAAGCTGTTTGAGATATATCTGTAAATATTGACATTACCTGGTCCAGCTGTTTGAGATATATCTGTAAATATTGGCATTACCTGGTCAAGCTGTTTGAGATATATCTGTAAATATTGACATGACCTGGTCCAGCTGTTTGAGATATATCTGTAAATATTGGCATTACCTGGTTAAGCTGTTGAGATATATGTCTGTAAATATTGACATTACATGGTCAAGCTGTTTGAGATATATATCTGTAAATATTGAGATTACCTGGTCAAGCTGTTTGAGATATGTCTGAGGATTATGTTCAGCACTGATGAGAGGTTGACCATTGTTGTATATACAGCAAACTGTGATTCCCAGGGAGAATATATCACTAATCATACTACACTTCTTCTCTGTTTGAACTTCTGGTGCAATGTAATTGAGATTGGGTTGAGCAAGTTTTGAAGCTTTTGTTGACCATGGTTGGCAAGATATCTTTTCCTGAAATATATATCAAATAATTTTTGTTACCATTGGTGAGAAAAATATACTGGTCAGGATTAAAAAATGTAGGTTTTTTTTTCTAGAATGCTAAATCAAATCTTTACTGATGACTCGTTTATACCTTACTATACACTGTTACTTCTCATTAACTTTCATTAAACCTTTTGACCAATGTTTTATAGTTTTATATGGGCAAGTAAATTAAAGCTGAGGACAAGTGAATTTTTTTTCCCAAACTTGCCTGTGGGCATTTAATGTGGCAAAAATTTATATTTCCACACCTCTGAATACTATATCACAAATCTTCACCTCTAAGCACTGTAACAGTGCTAAACTGAGCCAGTGCTAAACTGAGCCACAAATAAATGGGCCTAAGAATTTAGTTTTATAGGTCACAGAATTGATAAAAAAAAAAAAGAACATTTTTTGCATATAATTGCTATCAAGACAGTTGCACATTAAAATTACTAACATGCCTAGAAGCAGTATATTTCCATTATAAAGAAAAATTAATAGTTTCTGAAAATTGAGTTTGTAAAGTAACCAATGGCATTTCCTATTTCCATAATGAGTTTTTGGCACTATTTCATTTTCGAGAAATGCTTGGCTTCTGGCAAGATTTGATTTAAATACACATAAACCTTAATTACATTTCCAATCAATATGTTTCCGAACATTTTTTAAAGTCCTGAGGTTTGTACAGCATTCTGCAAAAAATGCAAGTATATTCAAAATACAAGTTTCCAACGTCAGTACATTTTGAGCTTCTCTTTCACAAATTTGTTTTCGATTATTAAAGATTTGATTTGGATTATTAATGATTTGTTTTGGATTATTAATGCTTTGTTTTGGATTTTTAATGATTTCTTTTGGATTATTAATGATTTGTTTTAGATTATTAATTATTTGTTTTGGATTTTTAATGATTTGTTTTGGATTATTAATGATTTGTTTTGGATTATTAATAATTTGTTTTGGATTTTTAATGAGTGGTGGCATGGCGGAGTGGTTAATCCATAAAACTAGTAATCTAAGGATTGCTGGTCATGTGGTTTGAAACCCTGTCAGGGGCAAGCCATTTTTTCCATGAGCAAGAAACTTTATTCTCAATATATGACTAAAATATGTACTGGTTGATTCGAAAGTGTTGCAATCAGCTTATAGCTTCCAAACAATGAAACTCAAATAAATTAGTATAAACTACACTAATGGTGTTGGTACATAAAAATTATGGGATTTGTCAGAACATTTAACTTTAAAATAATACATTTATATGTCTTGAATACTTCTCATACTAACATCAGCTTAAGAACAGAAAATTGTCTAGACATTAAGAAAATAATTTTTTTGCTATACATGAACTTTCTATTGTCTGAACGAATTTACCAAGTTATTACTCTGCATGAGTTGTCGTGAAAATTTTTTGTGACATCCAAAAAAGAACTAAAGACACATAATGTCATGGATATATCCTAAATGAACACTGTTTACCTGGCCCCATTCTGAGCTACCCAGGACATTTAAATTTAATACTACCATGGTTTAATGCCCGAGCTGTCTAAGACATTTTATACTTTCATGGTTTATTATGGAGCTGTCCTCAACATTTTATACTTTCATGGTTTAATGGCCGAGCTGTCTTGGACATTTTATACTTTCATGGTTTAATGGCCGAGCTGTCCTCAACATTTAATACTTTCATGGTTTAATGGAGCTGTCCTCAACATTTTATACTTTATGGTTTAATGTAGCTGTCCCAGACATTTTACACTACCATGGTTGAATGGAGCTGTCCGGGACATTTTACACTTTCATGGTTTAATGGAGCTGTTCCGTACATTTTAAACTTCCATGGTTGAATCGAGCTGTCACTGACATTTTATACTACCATGGTTAAATGGAGCTGTCCCGGACATTTTATACTTTCATGGTTTAATGGCAGAGCTGTCTTGGACATTTTATACTTTCATGTTTTAATGGCCGAGCTGTCTTGGACATTTTCTACTTTCATGGTTAAATGGAGCTGTTCTCAACATTTTATACTTTTATGGTTTAATGGAGCTGTCGCGGACATTTTACACTACCATGGTTGAATGGAGCTGTCTTGGACATTTTACACTACCATGGTATAATGGAGCTGTCCCGGACATTTTAAACTACCATGGTTAAATGGAGCTGTCCCGGACATTTTATACTACCATGGTTAAATAGAGCTGTCCCGGACATTTTACACTTCCATGGTTGAATCGAGCTGATACTAACATGGTTGAATGGAGCTGTACTGGACATTTTACACTACCATGGTTGAATGGAGCTGTCCCGGACATTTACACTACCATGGTTGAATCGAGCTGTCCAGGACATTTAACACTACCATGGTTGAATTGAGCTGTCAGGGACATTTTACACTTTTATGCTTTCATGGTTTAATGGAGCTGTCCCGAACATTTTATACTTTGATGGTTTAATGGAGCTGTCCCGAGCATTTTATATTACCATGGTTGAATGAAGCTGTCCCGAACATTTTATACTACCATGGTTTAATGGAGCTGTCCTGGACATTCTATTCTTTCATGGTTTAATGGAGCTGTCCCAAACATTTTATACTTTCATGGTTTAATGGAGCTGTCCTGGACATTTTATACTACCATGGTTGAATGGAGCTGTCCCTGATATTTTATACTTTCATGGTTTAATGGAGCTGTCCCGAACATTTTATACGTTCATGGTTTAATGGAGCTGTCCCGAACATTTTATACTTTCATGGTTTAATGGAGCTGTCCCATACATTTTATACTTTCATGGTTTAATGGAGCTGTCCCGAACATTTTATACTTTCATGGTTTAATGGAGCTGTCCCGAACATTTTATACTACCATGGTTGCAAGAGCTGTCCGAGACATTTTATATCTCCATGGAGCTGTTTAATTATCTTTTCATTTACATTATAAATTACATTAAAATTAATTTTATAGATTGATTAGGAAGCTTAAAAACCTTTTTTAAAAAAAAACTTTTTGTGATATATGTACTTGATTCATTTTCAAGTAGTCTCAATAAATAAAACAAGGATTTTCCAAATCTAATCACTTTTTCTTAACTAAAATATGCTATGAATTTAAGTTAGTAGCTTAAGTGTCAAAGATCTCTGGAAATTCTTAAAATATATCCCCATTGAATAACATGTATATTCACATTAATTCTCTAAAGTTTTGGATGTCAGACATTCTAATTGAAAAGTCAGCAGGATTTCTGAATGAACAATGTATGGTAATAAATCACTGACACTGTATAAAATACCCAGTAAAATATTGCAGATTCCAGAGACAAATAGCACATTAAAATACACAAACTTCCATAAAACACAGAATCTCATAGATAAATCTTAAATAAAGAAAATTCAAATTTGATAAGAAAGTCAAATTTTATCTTTTAATAATTAGTAATATGGTTTGCTAAAACGAGGAGGATAATAGCTGCTGTATTTTATCATTTTGATGCTGATATCTCTAACATTATTATTGCATTGTCTCCAGGTGACATTTGACAGGCATCTTACTGATTCTGTTAGACCCTCTGTGCCATACAGCTGACACTAGAGCAGGCACCTCACTGCCTTGGCCCAACTGTGTGTCTTTGACATTAAAATAGGCACTTCAATACCTGGTTTACTAGTATACCCTTTGTGGCTCACAGCTGACATAATATTTGAACCCTGCGTGCCTTACAGCAGGCACCTCACAGCCTGGTTTTATTCTCTTTGTCCCTTTAATACAGCTGACATTATAGTAGGTACAGTTGACTCTCAATAAGTCAAAATCGCTTTACTAAAAATTCCGCGTCAGTCGAAGAATTTCTAAAGTCCCGTCAAATTTCCTTCTTTATCTTTGTATTTTAACTACGCTTAGGTCAAATTTTGACTTACTGAGACTCCTGTTTAGTCGAAAAGAAAATTTTGTCCTGTCAATTAAAGTCCAACATATTTTCATCTCGATTAGTCGAAGTGTGAAAACAGCCGATAGATCAATGGTCGGCGACATTGTCACTCGTGATTCACATGTTTCATAGTAATTTTAATTGCCGGTCATCATGTATTATTAGCACGTCGTGAAAGTGGCTTTAATCGGTTTCAGGACTTAATTGGTTTACTTCAAACATTAGATAAATTGTTGTTGAAATAAATGTGTTATAATTGTGCTTTTATTGTAATGAATTATCATGAGTGCGTATTAAAGCATGTGCATTACTGATGAATACTGACAAACTTGCATTTATGTCATTGCTACGAATGCTTGTGTTTATATTTCACTATTAATATACGTGTATTAAATTTTGAATAACATGTTTTTGTTCATTTATAATTTGTATTTGTAAGTGATTTACAGTCATTTCAACGGTTAAATATTGCAGCATTGCCGCTATCAACAATAACAAACCTACTTCTTTGCATATTCAATCAGGTGCATGTATATACATGTACGAATGTCAATGTAATGGCGGCAGATCCACGTTACTCGAATTCCGTTTCTCTCGAAGTAAAATGCCCAGTCCCTTGGATTTCGAGTTATCGAGAGTCAACTGTATATCACAATTTGGGTTAAATTATTGAACCCTGTGTGCCTATTAAACAACTGACAATTCACAGCATGCACCTCACTGGTTAAATCATTTAGAATCACTTATCATTTGTGAAAAAATATTTGTTACATTGATATAACTTCTTAAAATAAATTTAAATTACAGATTTTTAAAATAAAGAAGCCTGCTGTGCAGTGAAGATTGAAACTGACGGCAGGGTGACTGAATCATTAAGTTTCCAACAAAATTGATTCAAAAACACATTAACCTCAATTCCCTTTTCAATCCATATGTCTCTAATCTTTTATTCATTCAGAAAATGATTCATCGGTGCAAAACAAAAATGTAATGCTACCATATTAAGAGAGAAAATTACTTAAAACAAAACCTCATTAATTAGAAAATGATTATCAATGTAATTGATTAGTGCTAAACATTTTCTCATAATTTTTTTCCTTCTCGCAGAAATTATTAAAGTGACATTATGCCCATTAAAAGGAATGTAGGAAAAAAAAAAACAGTTAAAACCCCACAACTCAAAATTTTATAGAGTGCAGGACAAAACCCCACACCTAAATTTTACAGAGTGGACAAAACCCCACACCTCCAGTTTTATAGAGTGGACAAAACCCCACCACCTTAAATTTTTCAGAGTGACATTAATGAAATGTATTTGACATGAGCTACATTTGATTTAATGTTTTTTCATTTGACTGATTTATTTTTATTTTTATAGTGAATGAACATTGAAAGTCAAAATAAGTTTACATTTTGCCATTTTTCCTTTCAATTCAGTAGAACGATAAATAACTCATATGGTCCAAGGAAATTTCTGTAAATATTGATCATAGAAAGAGTTGGGCAGTCTTTTATATTTTAATAATAATAATGATAATAATAAAGGCTTTATTTAACGAGGCTACATATTCGCCAAAACAATCTTCCATATGTACCTCAATTTTAGGCTGCGCTTTAATTATGTTGGTCAATCACCATTACAATAGTCAATCTTTTGAAATATTTATTCAATTCAGGTCAACTTGACAATGAAAAATAAGAGCATAATGTCACTTTAAACATTGATTAAATTATATTTTTTTTATTGAATTAAATACAGTAATTCTAATCCTTCCATAATACCATTTATATATTGTGCACCACTTACTCAAGTGCATTATTTATGTATGGAGAAGTAACTGTTGACTGTTTCCAAAAAAAGAAAGTTAAGTACCAGTAAATGCATGTAGTAATATAACTGATTCCTTCGGTATGGAGTAATGGTTCTATATAATTACAGAACTGTTACAAGAAAGCACTAAATGCAAAAAATATGTTTATCCTCTTCATTTGGGAAATGTCAGACATTATCTCTTAAAATGTCAGCATGATGTATAAATGAACAATGAGTTGTAATAAATCACTGACAATAGCACAAAAAGGCATTGAGAATTCCAGGGTAAATTTACACAATCTTTTCCTATTGCAAGATTCTCTGAAAAAAATATAGTTCAGTCTGACCAAACTGATTGATCTACCTATGCAATTTATTTTGATGAGTTATTTATTTATTTATTTAATTTTATCAAATTATAAACTATTAGACCTTATGACAAATTTTCAACTTAATTCATGAAAAAAACATCCTAGTTGTCCATCTCTGAAATCTATTTTTTAGACTATAATGAAAGAGGAAATAGGTAGAACTAAATTTGGGTTATTTTGTTCAAAATACAGAAAATTTCAGGTTATGAAAGTAATACAAAAATGTAAGGAGTTGTTAATACCTTAAACTGCTGAATTTCCTAATCTAGGAATAATATCAAAGATGAAAAAGTTGGCCGGACACCAGTGTTACCAGCTTTCCTGCTCTACATAACTTAAGTGATGAATGGTTTACAGCTTGTATGATTAAATAGTATGGTTGGTGCTTCAAGTTTTTTTTAAAGAATGTCACATTCAGTGATTAAATTAATGATTCATACAAAGCACCAACCTTCTTTACATTACTTAAAACATTTATTTCTTGTGAATATTTGAAAGTATAGCTAAAAAAATTCTAGAAGAAATAATTTTGTGCAATAACTTTTTAATTATTTGAGAACTTCTGTGTTTTACAAGTAAGTCTCTCTAAAAGTCAAAAAAATGCTTGTTAATACATTCATAATGACAGCAACGTATGACCAGTGATCAACTATTTGATCCCAGTAAAAATCCACCAGTATAGAGTCACATACACTGCCTAAATGTCTGTGCAATATATGACCAAGGTCAAAGGTTAAAAAGACTTTTGCCAAACTTAAAATCAGATTTCTGGCATTAGATTGGTAAGAAACTGGCACAAAATGTGCACCCTGAGATGCATGGCAGATGTCAGAAAAAAGTTTTATAACTTTGAGTCTAATGACTCTGTAATGTTGACTCAGCTCAAATATAATTTTGAAACCCCTTAAACTAACATGGACTGTTCTAAATTCAATGCAAGACTAGTCCATTATACAAATTAGAGTTAGTTAACTGTTATTCAATGCATGGCAATAATTAAGAGAGTGCACGCAGCATTAAAATGATCCTTTAATGCACTCATGCTATTAACAGGTCCTATAACTGTTTATGTTTGTCATAAAATAGTTTGTAAAAGTGGTCAGGAAATATAATACAGAGGTGAACGAGGAAAAACATTTCAATAACACTGATAAAGACTTCATATAGAGAGGCAAGTTCATGTTTCAATGAAATACTAGAAGTATGCTGGTAATGGGGAGCTTCGGGAATTCATTCCCTGTTTAGGTGTAAAATATCAGACTAACTTGAATTATATGAGTTA